CTCCCAGAATTAGAGCAGTATATGATAGAAGAATGGGATAGAATTCCGAATAATATTATAATTAATCTTGTTAGTTCAATGAGAAGAAGATGTGAGATGATAATTGAAAATAATGGCGAAAGAATTAATTATTAATTTTTACATTAATAAAAACTTTAGATTTTAAGCTTTATTTTGATATATTTTTCATTCGTTTTTATATGATAGTTTTTGAAGGATGAATGAATAAAAAATTCCAAAATTTTTTGTTACACACTGTATATAGGACTATTATTGAATTACCTATATGAAGTTAATTTACATAATTAAAATTCACCGTGCCAAATAATTTACAGTTAATAATAAATAAGGTTTATTTGAATTATTTCCCCAAAGTTGAAAAACTTTAGTCAACAACCAGACTTAATTTTATTGTAAGCATAAATAGTCTGATTTGCAATCAGGTATTAAAAATTCATCATTATAATTAATTATTTCCACGTTTTGATTTTAATTTGTTCAACAACAATAATGGATAATTATGTAATTAACCGAAAAATTTTCGGAAAATAATATTAGTATTAGTGTTAATTAATATTATTATTATCCAATCGATTACGATTTACTGTCATTGCTACTATTATCTCTTTATCGCCATTGCTATATGGTGAATCATAAAAACAATAATCTCGCACATGATTATTAAGTAGATGGTCCTTATTTACTTTTACAGCAACGTTAAACAAAAAAAAAAATTTTTGTTGGGGGGTGAAGATGCGTGTAATAATAAAAATATGTATGAAATATATATATAGATAGATAGATATAAATTTTATTTTTAATTCTATCTTAAAGTTTTTTTTCAATTATTATTATTAGTATTACTATTTATTATTATTATAAATAATAATAGTTTTCAAAATAATAATCCTTAATACACTCCTTTTACTTCATTTTTACTTCATTTTCGTTGAAAAATAAAAATAAAATAAAATAATTTATTTCTTATTCATCGTATATATACAACTTACACCATACATTATATCCTCACTCATTCCATAATTTATCACACAACTCGAACAAAATGCCAAATAGAAAAGAGAAGAACAAATATTCAAAGGTCGCAGAACCCAAGTCTTTTTTTCGAGAAACATTAAAGGAAATGGAGAATATCGATTCTACTGGTATTCTCAAGTGCGTTGACCAACATGTGGTTGATACTTATAATGCTATAAGTGCTGCTGCTAAATTAGGATCATGCCGTCTACTATATTTCGATGAACTTCCAATTGAATGGCAAGAAAATCCGTAGGTTTTTATAGATGCGAAATATTAATTAATGCATATATGTATATATATATATATATATTAAAGTGATGTATGTTGTTGTTGTGTAGATATATTCGTTCTGGATATCGATTTTTAACAACAAAAAAACAATGTCTTCAATCAATTTTTTGGCTTCATAACGAAACTTGTAATATTTGGACACATTTATTAGGATTCGTATTTTTTTTAGGCCTTGGAATATATTCTTTTATGACACATTTAGAAAACGCAACCATATTTGATAAATTGATATTTGTAGTATTTTTTATTGCTGCTGCTAAATGGTAAGAAATATAAATAAAATGTATATGAATGAGAGAGAGATATCGGAGAGATTAATAATAATTAACAATTAATATTATTTACATTATAGTCTAGTATGTTCAGTATTATATCATACATTTATTCATTGCGCGCATATTCCAGGTAATTATTACCGATTGATTTGTTTATTTTATTTTCCAAAAAAACCATCTTTAATCGATTGATTTTTTATTTCATCAGTGATGCAATGTGCAGCAACATTTGATTATATTGGAATATCGTTTCTTATAATAGCCTCCATCATAATAACAGAGTATTATGGTCTATACTGTTCACCGTTTGAACGTAATTTTTACATGACATTCACAGCGCTGGTCGGATTAGTTCCAATAATTTGTGCGATATTTCCATGGTTTGATTCAAAAAGATTTAGATTGTTTCGTGTGATATTGTTTATAACACTCGGATGCTCTGGTGTGTTTCCATTAGCACATTTGGTATATATTCATGGATTTAACCATATGTGGGATTTCATTAATCCTATTATATCAAGTTTATTTGCCTATTTGACGGGTGTATGGATCTATGCCAATCGATTCCCTGAAAAGAAATGGCCAGGGAAATTAGACAGATTTGGAATTCACAGTCATTCTGTGTGGCATGTTTTCGTTTGCATAGGAATATACGAACATTATAAAGCTTGTCTATGGTTTTTCGAAAAAAGATTATCTGCGAGCAATTGTTCCATATGAACGAATGAGAGTTGATTAGTTGAATTGGTTGAGTTGGTAGTTAACAATATTACTTGGAAGAAGAAAAACAAAAAACAATTGTTACAAAAAAAAATTATTATACATAGAATTTTTTTTATTTGAAAATTTTAGAAAAAAAATAATTTAATTTGTAAAAAGAAATTTTTTAAAAAATATACCTAATTCAATCTATATCTGGAAAATAGAGACCTATAAATATTATAAATATTTGTATAGAAAAATAGAATGAATATAAATAATAGTTTAATAAGCAATAAAATACAATCATATAAAATATTATTATTATTTATTATTATTATTATTATTATTATCAGAAATTTGGGTATATTATATAGTCAACATTGGATTAATAATTATTCAGACTGACGTGCAAATATCATTTTTCATCATTTATTTAATTATAAATTGATTTATATATAAAATTTTTTTTCAAGTACCTTTGTAAAAAAAATTCTTTTTCTATAAGAAAATGTTGAAAAAAAAAAAAGATGGATATTCATGATCACCATATTAATATTAACAAATCCTTTTTTGGATGTTTGATCGCTATACCCCAAAACCAAATATTATTTTAATTTGAAATCCAAAACGGCAAATCAAGAGAAGGGAAAAAACCTAAACCATTATACTCGTGTGTTATTGAATAACGGAACAAGGAAATAAAAACAATCATATTAATTAATATTGCGAATTTGTATACAATATTTTAATATTTTATTTTTAAAGTGAAAAATATTAAATTAAATTAATAAATATATGTCTATAATATTAAATAATGCAATTTTTAAATAAATACAATAAATATGAATATATATAAAAATAAATTACAAAATAAAGAATATAATAAATGAATATGATTAGAAGCACATGAACTTGTTTTTCTTTTGTATAAGTTCTTCCATACGATTTTCAAGCTGTCTTCTAGCTTTTTCAGCTTCTTCTTTTGCTTTTCTTTCTTGATTCAATACAGACTCAATGGACTCAATGACTTTCTTTTCTTCTTGCACTGACGATTGAGCATGTTCAAATTGTGCATTAACCTCTTCCAATCGATCATTCAATGCTTTAACTTGTTGACGAAGATTGGCCTTTTCTTTTTGAAGAATTTGTAATTGTTGTTTTGCAATTTTTAATTCGCCTTCATTGCTGTTTAGAGCTCCTTCTAACGTTTCAATAAGTTGTTGACTTTGTGAATTTTCATTTTCAAGCTTACCAAGTTTCTTGTTAAGTTTTTGAACTTCTGATGTTAAATCTTGTATTGGTGTGGTATTTACTTCAGAATCTGGTATAGGTGGTAATGGGCTTTTTGGTGGTGGACTTAATGGTGGTGTCATTGGCAAAGAAACAGAATTGGATGCCAAAGATGATATTGACGATGATGGCGAGGAAGGTACAGGAGGTAGTGGAAGATTTGGTGGTGGTGTAAGTGGAGCATCCATATATGCTGCAGATGTGGCACTGAGATTATTTTTAATAGCATTCTTCATCAATTCAGTTGATGAATTTGAATCTGTTCTAACAAGACGGAATCCACCAACTGCATCAAGATCAGCTGGCGTGGTAGGTTTATGTATTTCTTCTAATTGTTGTTTCTCCAACTCTGCAATTCTATCTTGTAAAGTTTTTATTATTACAAGTTGTTCTGCAATGGTAGTTTCATGTTTCATAGCTTTCACATTTTTGTTAAGGCGTGGATTACTAGCTTGTGGTGATAATGATGAAAATCCAGAATCATATGAATCTCCAGAATCACTACTAGATCTTACTTTTTGTCGTTGTTGTTGCTGCTGCGGTAATTTAGGACTATATTCTTGTTCGTTTCCTGATTCTAATTTCTTATTAACTTCCAAAAGCCTTATTATTTCTTTCTCCATTTCTTCCGAATCTTTTTTGGATTGTTCTTTGGTAATTGAGATTTCTTTTTCCAACGAAATTATTTTCTTGTTTAATTCTGCAAGTTGAGCAGCAGTTTTATTACCATCACGACCAGATGATTGGAGCTGTTGTAATAATGAATCAATCTTGTCATCAAGTTTTTTCTTTTCCTCGACAAATGCTTTATTGGCTTCTCCTAATCCGTCCCTCTCGTGCTCAAGATTTTTGATCTTATCTTTCAATTCTTGAGCAAACTCTTTACTTGTATTAATATCATCATTAATTGTTTTGTAATGCGCAAGTTCTTGTTCTAATGATTTAACTTTTTGATTCAATTTGGAAACATTTTCTTCTGTATCCACCAACTTTTTATTTAAATCATTATTGGTCTTGCGTAAAGTTTCACTTGCAGATGCTAATTGTGAAAGTGTGGTTGAGCTATTCGTGTGTTGTTTTTTGTTTGCATCAATTTCCATTTCCAATTCTGCTATTCTTGTTTTTTGTTTTGATAAATTGCTTTCAGTTTCTTTGTATTTCAAATCAGCTTCTGAATATTCATCAGCCAACGATTCAAGTTCTTTTTCAAGTTGTATAACATTTTGTTCCAATGCCATATTATTTTGGTCCAATATCGACTTTTCAGATTCAAGTTTCTGAATGGAATTTTCTAATTGTTGGCTATGTTCAATATGAATTTGATTTTCTTCTTGAGATTTCTTAAGTTGTTGATTAAGTTCTTCGTATAGGCCACTATCGACGCTTTGATGACTTTGTAACATTGCTTCCTTTTGTATTTCATCAATTTCGTTTTGTAAATCTGCACATTTCTCTTTAAGTTGTTCTATCTCAATATTTGCTTCAGTGAATTTATCAATTTCTTTGTCGCGTTGATTTTTAGTTTGTTCGAGTTGTACTTCTAAACTTGAGATAAGTTCAACCTGTTGAGATTCGTTGGACTGCATTTGTTTAAGTTCTTCCTTTAATTTTTTAAGATTATTATTTAAACTATCCAAATCATTTTCTTTTATTTTCAAGTCATCTTCAACTTCTTTAACCGATTTCCTTAATGATTCCTCAGTCTCTTTTGCCAAGACCAACTCATTTGTCAACTGTAAAATACTTTTACTATTCTCAATGTCAGCAGCAGCCAATTTCGATTCTAGTTGTTTAGTAAGTTCAACCTGTTTATCGTATGATTCTTTGACGGCTTCAAGATCTTCACGCGTAGGATTATTCTTTATTTGTTCTTCTAACTCCAAAATCTTGGATTCAAGTTCTTGAGCTTCAGCAGACTTGAATTTTTCTGCATTTTCAAGTTGCGATTTAAGTTTCTTTAAATTTTCTTCTAATCCCATAATCAACTCGACATTATTGTTAATTGCATTATCTTTCTCTTGAACTTTGATGTTAGTTTCTTGAATTCTATCTTCAAGTTCTTTGATTTTTTGTGAACGTTTTTTGTCTAATTCTTTCGATTCGTCAAGTTGTGACTGAAGTAAATCAAGTTTCTCATTAAGCTTACTAATGGTTTCTTGGTCTAATACCGAGCTATTTTTAGCTTCCTCAAGTTGAGATTTAAGATTAGAAATATTCGATTCTAAAGTTTCAACAGCTTCTTTTTTTTCAGTTTCTTTTCTTTCAATCTCTTTGGCTAATTCATCAATAAGATCGGCCGATTCGTCACGTTCTTTTTCAACATTAGTAAGTTTTGAATTCAATTCTGATAAAAGCTCATTTTGTCGAATCATTTCATCTTTGGCTTCTGATAATTCAGAATTAAGCCTTGAAATTTCTTTATCGTCAGTTATATTCATCTCTTTCAAACCTTCAATTTCAATTATTAAATCCTTGGTTTTTTTATCCAATTGATCACGTTCTTCAACTGTCTGACTTAACAATGCCGACAAATCCTCGTGTTTCTTAGAACTTGATTGATTATCTTCTTTAGCTTTTGTTAATTCGGTTTTAGTCAAGTTCAGATCTTTTTCAAGAGTGAAGACAAGATTTTTTTGTGCTTCGAAATCTTGTTTCATCGACTCCATCTCTTTGACAACAGAATCTTTTTCATTTTGAATGTTGACAAGTTGATCTTGTAATTGTGAAATAGAGGACTTTTGTTCAGCATCTAATTCACTCAACAATTTAAGTTCACTTTGAATACTTGATAATTTTTTAGAATCTTGTTGAGCTTCAGAAAGCTTAGTTTCCAAGTCTTGAATAGTATCTTTTAGCAGTGACTCGTTGGCTTCATGATTAACAAGTTCGCTTTTCAAATTAGCAATTTCCGGATTTTCTTGGGCAAGTTTTAATTGTGATTCTAGGGATTTGATTTTTTCAGATTGATCAATCTCTTGTTTGTTGAGCAACTCGATTTCCTCCTTTAATTTTTTAATTTCATTATCATTATCTGTTTCTTTGATTAATTGTTTTGCTGCTTCCTCTTCTCTCAATTTCAATTCGCTACTCTTAATAGTTTTTATTCTTTCATCTGATTCTTTCCTTAATTCGTCAAGTTGAACTTGCAACACTCTTATTTCAGATTCGGAATCTTTTAATTTGGATTCAAGTTTCTCTATTATTTTTTTATGTTCAATTTCATTTTCTTTGACTAACGATAATTCATCTTTTAATTTTGTGAAATCTTTTTCAACAACAGAAAGATTCTTATTTTGTTCTTGCGATGATGATAAACTTGATTCAAGAACTTTGATTCTTTCACATTGAGCAATCTCGATCTTTTTCAATCGATCCAATTCTGATTGAAGTTTAGTTTCTTCGAGTGCCAAAACTTTTAATCTTTCAATAGTAAAATTTTCATTATCTTTAGCTTTAATCATTTCTTTTTTAACATCGTTTATTTCATTTTCTAATGACTCATTAACTTCATTATTATTATTTGATGATGATTTGAAAGATTTTAATTTTTCTTGAAGTTGTAAAATTTGTTGTTTCATTTCATTCTCGTTATTTTTAAAACCGCTTAATTGATGTTGCAAGGACTTGGCTTCAGCTTCTTTTCCACGTAATTTTTGTTGTAATATTCCTTTATCAATCAATTCTCTTTTAGTGCTTTCAATTATTTCATATTTACATTTAACATCAACCCTTAAAATTTCTAGTTGTTGTTGCATCGATGAAACTAATTCCAATTCAGTCTTAATATTTTCTGATTTATCTTTATCATCTTTATGATCATTATCATCAGCCTTACTCAATAATTCTTCTTGTAAATCTACTAATTTTGCTTGCAAGTTACTGATTATTTTTTGTGTTGAATCAGTTGAATATAAAGTTGATGCTGAAGAGGAGGCGGAGGTGGAAGATCTTGGAGTTGGAATATGTTGAGCTTCTTTTGCATTCGTTAATTGCACTTCAAGATCCTTAACTTTCTCTTCTAATTCTTTAACATTTTCATCAATATTTTGTTCTAATTTATCGGAAGAGTAAGCAATTTCTGGTGATAATGATCCATTACGATTATTACTTTTGTTATTATTACCTTCATCATTACTGTTGCTACCATTAATACCATTATCAGTGTTATTATTGTCATATTCAGCTGATTCTGAAATTGTAGCTAATTTATTAGATTTTTCTTTTAATGTTGCAATTCGATGAGCCTCTCTAACTTCTTGCAATTCATCCTCAAGCCTTCTAATTATATCCTGATGCTCGTTAGATGGCAACAATAAAGCAGATATGGTATGACTTTTTGCTTCTATTTCCATTTGAAGTTTTTCAACTTGTTGTCTTAATGTAATAATTTCTTGGTCTGTTTCCTTACCATTGTTGGCAGCATTAGTTGAAGATGAACCATTTCCTTCCAATTTTAATTTTGTATCATCAATTTCTTTTTGTCGCTGAACTTGAGAAAATTCATCCTCATTGCCATTGCCACTATCATTATTGGCCTTTTCACGCTGAGACATAATTTCCATTGTGGTTCTTTGTTCTTCTTTAAGTTGTTCAATTTCTTCCTTAAGTCGTTGAACAATGTCCAAATGATCAATTTCACTTGCGGTAGTGGTAGAAACACCGCTATAATAACTATTGTATTCACTATTGTTATTATTAGTATTGTTACCACTACCATTCAAACTACTGCTGCGATTATGATGATTATGATTATGATGTTGATGATTATTATTGTGATTACTTGAAGAATTTATATAATCACGATAATCGGAATTAGAAGTAACCGACATTTCTTCCAACTGAGCCAACGCATCACGTCTTTTAATCTCTTCTCGTAACTCTTCAACAATTTCTAGTTTTTCGCGATACTCAATCTCCAATCTTGCAAATTCTGATTTGACAGCATCCAGACCTTGGGTTTTATCCTCGTGCAGTGATGACAATTGCTTCAAGTCATCCTGTAATTTCTGTACAATTGATATGTGAGCTAAATCACGTCTTTCATTGGATTTCAGTTCGGTTGATAAAGTTCTTGATTTACGATGAGCGTTTTGATTTTGTGATTTTTTCGAATTATTAAACAAATTGTTAATTAAAGGTTGTTCTTTATGATTAGATTCGTAAAAATTATTGTTAATATGATTGATAGAAGAAACACTTGTGGCGATGGTCGAGTAAGAAGAAGACGTGGTGGAGGTGGGAGAGGAAGAAGATGACGAGCGAAGATTTACTGGTAAAGACATTCGATAATTACTGTTATTGAATAATGAGCTATCAGGTGTGGTCGGAGTTGTAGGTGTAGTTGATTTGTCGTCATGAATTGACTTAGCATCCAAAATTTGAATTTCTAATTCTTGCATTTCTTGTAAACAAGATTGGTATTTTGCTTTCAAATCGTCGAATTCTTTACATGTATTATCATGAACCTTTTGTAATTTTGATAATTTCCCTTCCAATAATATCATATTCAATCTCTCTTTCTCTTCATTACTGTTATCGTTTGATGAAAATAGGCTTGTGTCTGATGTAGTTGATGACGTAGATTTTTCATGAATATGCATAATATTAAGATTATCGTCGTCATCTAATGAATGTTGTTTTCTTAAATTTTCAAGCTCGCCAATTAATTCTTCAACTTTTCTTTCAAGATGAATGATCCTCTCTTCCCTATCATCCAATTCAGCAAGCAAAGATCTCTTCTCTCTATCATTCTCAGTATTGTACGATTTTTGTTCTAGTTCGTGATACTCTTGCTCGCTCTCGATCAAACGTTGTTCCAATTTCCCAATATTTTCAGTTAATTTAGAAACATGATCCTCACTGCTTGCCAATCTGTCTTCCAGTTCTGCGATATACATTTCGCTATTTGATATAATATCCTTTAACTTTGCAATTTTAGATTTCAAGTCCTGAATCATTTCTTGATCAAGTTTTTGTTGTTGAGAACAAGATTCTAATTTCCCCTCCAGATCTTTAACGTAATTTTCGGTAGATGATTCACGCTCATTCAACCTTGCAAGTTTATTTTTCAATTCAATAATTTGAGCGCGATTTTGTTGATCAGCTTGTTCGGTTTGGAATAATTTGTATTCATTTTCTTGCATCAATGTTTCAGAATGTGATAATGCAGCCTTGTTTAATGCCAGTTGGCTTTCTAGTTGTGAGATTGATTTTTCATATTCTTCGATTACTGGCTCAACGGCTTCTTGAAAACTTGCAGAAATATTTTTTATTAATTTTTCTTCTTCAATAGTTGCCAAACCATTCTTGTCAATATTGGGTTTCTTGACATTACTCTTGATATCGCCAGATATTATACCATCAGAATTATCTTGATGTTGAGCAAGTTCAGCAGAAGTTTTTGCATATTTTTGTGTTAATTCAACATAGGATTTTTTTAGCTGGATCAATTGATCTTCTAAGGTTTCGATTTCTTTTTCTTTTTCTTTTTGTGAATTTAATGTTAGTGAAGAAGAAGGAGTTGAAGGCCTTTTTAGATAACTAGGAGTATCCCTGCCATTAACTGGCGTGGTTCTCCCTGATACATTACTTAACAGTGGCGTAGTTCTTCCTGATGCATTACTTAACAGTGGTGTGGTTCTTCCTGATACATTACTTAACATTGGTGTGGTTCTTCCATTACTTAACATTGGTATACCACTTGTAATTGTAGAAGTAGTAGGACTATTATAGTTATTATTATGATTATTATCATCTTCTATATCTGAAAAATCTTTATCTAAATCATCACCATCATCACCATCACCATCATCATCATTATCATCAGTTGAGCTGTCACCATCTTGATAATTACCACTATATTCTTTTGGTACTACTTCATAATTATTTTTATCCTTTGATGTTTCTTTTTGTTTTCCTAATTCAAAAATATATTAATTAAATTACAAATTAAAATTATATAAAATATATATTTGTCACACCTTTAGCTGCTGATCCACTTGTTGCTAATCTATGGGCTTCCTTTTCTAATTTATTTCTTTCAACATTTTTTTCTTGTTCTTTTCTTCTTGTAGCTTTTAATTGTTTACGCCTTTCTCTTTCTTTCTCCATCATTTTGATTTCTTGTGGAGTTTTATGCACTGTGTGTATAATATATATATCATGTAAATTTATTGAATAATTCACTAATGAAATTGGAAACAATAAATTAACATACAAAATTCATGAAACAAAATTTCTCCATCACATAATCCATTTTGTATTTTAATTAGTTGTAATTCCATCCTAGGTCCAATCTCTGTCAATTTAATTGCTCTTCTATCAGCTTTTTTATTATTCCTACCAATATAATCTTGTGCTAGTGTCACTGAACTCTCCTCCACTCCACTCTCTTCCTTCTCACTCTCTGATATACGCCCATCATTCCTAGAATTAATTGATGAGTAAGTGCAAGAAAGCATGTGTATCTCTATGAATACAACTATATTTATCTATAAACATCTATACATACTTTAATATAAAGTCGCTTATATCATTATACTTGTGCAAATCAGGAAGATTTGATGTTGTCATGACTTTACGAATACCTTTACTAATACCAACTGGCTTCAATCCAATTAAATAATGTCGAAAATCAATATTTTTTGTTTCTGAATTATAACTAAACAATACCACTCTGCGTGCATCTGATAATTGTATCTATAAATATATATATATGAGTAAGAATGTGTGAAAGTAACATATTAATAAATAGATTTTTATTTGTGTTTTATTTTACCTTGTTGATATTAATTGAGGGAAACATATTTTGAAGCATGGTTATCATTAATTTCATGTGTCTATTTTCTTCATTAAAATTATTTAATACAAGCTTTGCACATCAATTTAAAATGAAATAAAATAATTAATTAGAATGATGAGTTGAAAAAAAATTTTTTTTGAAATAAATAAATAAAGTATTTTCACAAATGTATATGTGTGTGTAAATCTATCTATCCGTTTACACCACCACTCATATTCGCACTCATATTCGCTTACCAATGGTGAAGAATTGTATTCTAATCCATAAGCTTTAGGATTGATCTGTGACGAGAAAACATCTTTTATTAAGGAATACTTGTGAACTTTGAAACATAATGTAGGTCCTCTTGGCACTCTTGCCAACCTAAAATTAGTACCATTTTCTGTTTGCGTAAAGATCAGAAATTGTGTTACTCCCAAATGACCTGACACATTTACAAAATCTTTTATTTTGTTGTTTTTACGTTCCTGTTAAGCAAAAAAATGAATAAAGGGAGGAAGGAAGGAATGTAAACAAATTGATGGATTTAGTTGATTAATTGATCGAATAATCAATCAAGCTATTATAAGTTTATGTATATAATACCTTTAATCTAATAGCAGTATTTGGTTCCATTACTTTACGCATATCTTTTACTAATGTTCCAACAGGTCTACAAACTTTCCCTGCTTTAAATACAAAACATTTGGGTATCTTGGGTGCATTAGGATTAATACTACTAGCGGTTTCTTCAGGGCGGATATGTGTTCTCTTTTTCCTCTATTCATTGAAACAATCAATATAATGAATGACTAGCAAATAAAAATTGTTGTTACATTCACTCAAAAATAACTTACTCTTTTTGCCATTATTAAAAAATAAATTTATCAATTTTTTTTAGATCAATTTTTTTGAATGTCACACAAAATTTCTACATCCACCTCTAACAAAAAAACAATTGGTTTTTAGAGAATGAATATAGAAAAAGAAGAAGAAAATTGCTTTGTGGTTGATTATGATATTGTTAAATATAAAGATAAAAGTGAGAAATGTTTAATTAATAAAGATGAGTATTTAAATAATTATTATAAAAAATATTATTATATAATAAATAATGATGAAAAGAATGAAGAAGAGAATGAAGATTGTTATATTTATCAAGCACCAAATAAGTAATTATTTATTATTAGTTAATTATTTAATTTAACATTTTTACTATTAAAAAATCCTACTAAATAGACGTATAATAATAGATTGTGTGTTATTGGTTTAGCAACTACTAATAATTTATTATCAATATTATCAACATCATCAATAAATAACAAGACATTTAGGATTATTAAATCAATTAATGAAAATAAAAAAAATAAATTCATTCGTAAAGATTCAGAAATTTGCAAAATTATAATACAAAATAATAATAAAGATAGTAAAGATTTTGGAAAGGATGAAAATGTTAAAGATCTTGAAGATTATGAAAAAATAATCAGGATATATTCTGTGATTGATGGATCTTTAATTAATTATAATATGAGACTTGAAAATGAACCAAATTTATTAATTGAAAAGGTAAATTCAAGGCAAAATCTTATAATTTATAATTAAAATAAATAATTTATTAATTAATATTTTTTGACTTCAAGCCAATGACAGAGGGATATATTGCAATTATCAAACCAAATCCAGATAATCCAAAATATGATTTAAAGCATTGTATTAATGAAGAAGAATATAAAGCAATTAGAAATTTAAATTAAATAAATTATATAAATAAATAAATTACATCTAAAAGAAATAGTAACTTTCCCACTAGAGTGGCTTGTGCATGACCCTAAATTTTTTTGCATCATGTATGTGACTGCATACTTTGCAACGGTGCACCTTGGGATAGTTAATAAAATAGTTCATTTGATATGCCTACTATACTTTTTATTTTAGATAATGCTTGCATATATATTAAAAGTTTATCACTCATAATGAAACATTGCTCATATATTAAATTTAGTACAAGAAACATGGATTGGATATGAAAACTTTAGTCTGTTAGTAGGAAATATTAAAGCTTTATTTACATGTAGTGTAGCAAGAAAAGAAATGGATTCATTTATTTCTCAATTTGAGAAAGAGATTAGTTAAAACCAGATAGAATTCTGGTTTAAGTCTACAATTTGGACTGATAGATATAATTTGCAGTTAAATTCATTTTCCAGAAAGGAATTAAATGGTGATAGTAAAGCTATTTGTCAATTGGTTCCTATACAAGTCGCTCCTGTTATAAGGACACTCATGGACAAGCAAAAAATGTCAGTATAACAGGATTGTCATTATAACGGGAGTTCATATAAAAATCATGCAGAAACATTATCATGTGATCCACAATAAAATTTTTAAAATTTCTGACTTATTAAATTTTTTTTAATTCTTGTAAACTATCTAACATATACCCCTCCACTACAAACCCTTGTTCTTCTTGTTGTATATAAATAAGAAGGTTTTCACAACTTTGTAGTGCATCCTGAGTGTTAATGTGAATAATATTCTCTCCTTCTCCTCCTTCTCCTCCTTCTCCTTCTTCTTTATTTAAAACAGCAACAACTTCTTCTAATGAAGGCATTCCTTCAGCTTCATACTTGCATTCGTGATTAATATAGTCCTCAACTGGTTGTGATTCTATATAATATTCATTTATAATATTTTGCAATTCTAATTCAATACTATCTTCACCATCTTCATAATTAACATAATCATTTTAAGTTTTTCACCTTTAGAATTACAAGACAACATGATAGAAACTCTTTCCTTGGATTGCTTTGTACCAGAGGTTTCACCATGAGCTAAAGTTTTTGATGGTTCAAGTTGCCAGAAGAGTGCAGTCTCATCACAATTGTAAATATCATTAGGGTCATAATCTTTCAGAATTTCTTAAAGTTCTTCACGATATTGTGGTAACAATTCAAGTGGAGCAGATGCTGACTCACCTTGTTTAGTTACTGAATAAATATGATGTTGATGTTTAAAATGAGAGAGCCACCCATCACTACCTTTAAAATCATTTATATTTATAAGTTTAGCTAGTGCTTGAGCTTTTGTTTTAAGAATATCTCCTGAAATTGTAAGATTATGTTTTATAGCCTGATCAAACCAAAGTGCTAGAGCTTCTTCTAATTGTGGCCAATTTGCTTGCCTGTTTTTTTTTAAATTGGGAAGTTGTATGAATTTCATCAATAAAGAGCTATTTATTTGATTCTGATAAAATTCCTGAAACTGTGCTTTGACCAATTTTAAAATCTTTAGTTAAATCATCTTGAGTTAAACTGGGATCATTTTTAGCATGCTTACATAATTCTTTTTTTTTGTGAAGCACTTAAAGACACTCTTTTTTTGGATGAAGATGAAGAGATTGAACTCATTTTTAAAATTATTATCCCTAATTGGGAGTTATAGGATGGATTGTAACAAAAAAAAACCAGGTAGAAAAAAAAAACAAACAAAAAGCTTCATGTGAAAAAAAAAAAAAAATGACAATTCATTATCATTACAA